TCTTGGAGGAGAGACGAAACGTTTCATTAGAGAAGAACCCGTCCAGAAGACCTATACAATTTTTTTCTTTTTTAAAATCCATAATAGTTTTCAAAATATGCAAATTTTAATGTTTTGTTTTATTTTTTTAGCTGTAAGGATGAGTTGACAGAAGTAGAGTCATTTTAAGAGAAAATCAAACGATGGAGAGCGATTTTACTGTGACTATTTACTCATATCAGGCATACATTTGATCTGTTAGCATTACAGTGTTTGTAGGTTCGAAAGAAACTTCCAGTAGATTTTTTAAATTCTGTTTTCATCTTAAACATTTTTAGTGTTGGACAAACTTTTTACAAGTTGTTTAAAACTGTATTATGTGACAGGGCCTTAAGATGAGGAATATTTGTTTTACAACTGAGTTTCAGTTGTATTAACCCATAAACAATAATTTAATTCTGTAGAAATGATCAGAATAAAAACATGCAGATTTTGAGGCTTTTATGGCTATCAAATTAAGAATCACATGCGCATCAGGCAGTGTCTCATTAGATTTTTAATTTCATTTCCGTCGCTTTGGATTTTTGTAAATGTATTAATTTAATGGTTTTATTATTTTAAAAAGTTTATTAAGCAGTAATAATCGTGTTTTCGTCACACAGGTGGGTGTTGTCGTGGAAGTGAAGAATCAGGACGGAGTTTACCAAGAGGCCACGATTAACAAGCTGACCGATGCCAGTATTTACACAGTCGGTGAGTCGGCGTCATTTCCCGCCCGCTCATTCAGAGTCGATCCAATTCAAGATGGCCGRCACAGCTCAGTGGGTGTTACAAAAATGACCAAAGCTCAGCCAATGTTGAAAAATAATTAGCTTAAATTTAAAGTGGTAGTAGCTTTGAGCGCCGACTGATTGAGCAAGGTGTAGAGTCAGTTAGCAAAATATCTCATCAGCCACTGGATGGATTCTTCCAGAAACTTTCACTGAATTCATATCGTAACTTTTGATGTCAACATAATTAAAAATGGCCGCCACGGCTGACAACCATAGACCACAACAGATCATGAAACAGCAGAATAAATTTAAAGAAGTTAAATATATTTTAAAAGTTAAAAATCTCCTGAATGAGCTGAACGTTTTGACAGATAAAAAGCTGAAATAAAACAAAGAATGCAGGAAAGGTTTGATWGTTTGTGTGAACGCTGACTCGGCATTTCTGTCCAGAGAAAGAACTGAACACTGGAGTAATGTGTCTGTAAATACTGTAAGACTCGAAGTRATTTGTCAGTCTGGATTGTCTTTAAAAAGTCCACAACTGATCAATAATTAATAAAACTTGGGGAAAAAGCGAGTTCTCAAACTTTCAGAGCCAGTTTTCTTCAGTGTTGAATAAAAACTCTACAGTCTGCTCTGATGTGAAATGTTTTGTTTAGTAAGTCTCTCTGTCGTGTTGGCAAACACGTTACACAATATGTTTATTAAATTAATCTTTTTGAGGATGGTCCTTTGTTGTTTTCACGAGGGAGAAAATGAAGTGGGCGGGGTTTATGTGTGTTTTTGAATGAAGTGGGCGGGGTTTATCTGTGTGTTTTTGAATGAAGTGGGCGGGCTTTATCTGTGTGTTTTTGACCGACTCCTGGCCAGCGTGCAGCAGCCTAACGGGTTTGTCTCTCATCCTGGCAGTTTTCGACGACGGAGACGAGAAGACCCTGAGGCGTTCGTCTCTCTGCCTGAAAGGAGCGCGTCACTTCGCAGAGAGCGAGGCGAGTGGCGATCTTCATCCCTCATTTACACATTGATGCTGACTTATTGACAGATTCCTGCTTCAGTGTGTCATGAAAGTTTGTTTTTTTCAGCTGATGCTTTTTGTTGTTTCTCATCAGACGCTCGACAGGCTCCCTCTCACCAACCCCGAGCACTTCGGCACGCCTGTCATCGGAAAGAAAGGAAACCGCGGCCGACGATCGAACCCAGTGTGAGTCCCGTCCTTCTCCTGGTTTCTATATTCTCTTGGTATGCTTGTTTGTCTTTGTGTCTATGGTGTAATAATAATGATGTGATTGTGATGCTGTAATTCTGAGTGTTTTATGTGCTGCAGAACAGGAACCTGCTGTAAAACAGCAATTATGCTGAATCAGGCTTGATTTTTAATAATCTTTTCCTGTTAAATAAATAAATCAAAATCAAAATCTAACCTGCCCCTGAAAAGAAAGCTCTGCTCTGCGAGCACGCCGCTCTCCCTCCTTTAACTCAGACGTTCCAGTCGGTGTTTTTAATCCTCTGGTGCTCATGGGAYAGTCCTCCTCAGGGAGTAAGAACTGCTCAGGGTTTATTTGGTTCTGGGTATAATTGTGTCTCGTCTCGTTTAAAAAGAGGACACTCGGCTACGTAATCTTATTCTCTGACTTTCTTTCTAATTGCTCCCACAGAAAAGTCAATATTGCTTTTAAACATTGATGCAATATTGACTTGGAACGGTCCCAGCTGTGTATTAGCGTCGTTTCAGACCTTTTGTACCTCGAGATCCTGATCATGTTTTAACTCCAGGATTAGTATGACTGAGGTGACTGGGCTGCTGGTGCTTTGTTTTTTTTGTTTCTTTTTGAGAAAWAAGAAACAGTAGGATTATATATTTATCTAATTATTGCCATGCTGGTGAATGTTTTGTTTTCTTGTAGCTTGTTGATTTGAAATAAAACACAGTTTCTACACAAGAATATTGTGCCGTGACTTCCTGTAGCACATTTGATCCGCTTTAAACRGACCAGAGTTCATTTCCCACATTGGTCCGGACCTTTTAGTCAGATTTGAGTACACTCATGTGAACCCATCAAACAACCGGACCGAGACCYGCTTTTGAGGTGGTCTCGGTTCGTGTCCAAATGAACTCTGTGTCGGTTCACTTCAGATGTGAATACAGACCAGCCTGGAACCAAACCAACTACAGGAAACAGGCGCCTTTTTTGAGAAAGGAAAGTGCTAGCTGCACGAAATTTGAACGTCGTACATGTGAAAGGAAGTTTAACAATATGGCTTGGTTAAAACATCCTTAACCAGCCTGTAAAAAAATTGATTTTCAGCTATCTTTTTACAGGCTGGTTAGGGAAGTTTTAACCAAGCCATTTTGTTACACATCCTTTCACATGTACGATGTTCAAATTTCGTGCTTCTAGCATTTTCCTTTCTCAAGTTATGACTAAAATTTATCTAAAAAAAAGTTACTTCCTGCCCAACTTGACCAAGCTACTCCCCGCTGCCTCCAGCCTCAAACCCCACCGTCAATCCGACCAATCACGTCTCGGGCCATCTCTGCCCACATTAAGACCTCGGCCAATGATGATTTGGGCCGTCTCCGCCCACATTAAGACCTCGGCCAATGATGATTTGGGCCGTCTCCGCCCACAAGACAACACGTTCTGCAGAGACCCCTACTTGCCATTTTTGGACTTCACAAACCACCGTTTGCTAAGCAGAATTAGCCCTTCAGTGTTACTAAGGCTAACACTCCGCTACAATGAGTCGTTGTGGGTCAGGGAATGCGGAGCATCTTGTCTGCTTTAGGTTTGCAGCACACATTTGACAAAACTGTCCCAAAATTATTATTATATCATCTAAAAAGCCTCCACTGAATGAGCTGCTCTTGATGTTTTAACAGCATCTTTGTTTCCTGKTTTGTGCTCTGTACCGCCCCCTTTCATTTCTGTCCAATGGGAGCAATGATCGTCACCTGCGTGGCTTTGTTTATAAATTATAGTTGGCTTGCAWRWAGCACAATGTGAATGCAAACCACACCACAGAAAATATAATTTAATCCGCTATTTGATCCGGATCAAACAAGTGGATCAAAGGACTTTCCTGGTGTGTTGATAATTACTGATTAGTTTTTTTAATCTGTTTGAAATAAGAAGCAGGAAAATAAAACCAAACTGGTGACCTTTCCTCTTTTATCCACAGTTTCCTCTCGAGCTGTTGCATCATTTTCTCCTTTCTCCTCATCGTTCTTTTTTTATTTTCCCATTTCTCTGTTTGGTACAGAAACAGATTAGACATCAAAACGTAGGAATGTTTGTCTTCTTTCACCTCATGTTATTATTATAAGTCTATTCTTTGGAGTTTCCTGATCATTTTAAACATGTGAGTTCTGCAGTCATTGCTTTAAAAAACCTGGTTTGGATTCCATAAATCTCACAAACTTCAGTCTCATTTCTAAACTTTATTTCCTTTCAAAAGCCCTTAAGCAAATTTCAATGTAAAAGGCAGAAATGTAGCTTTAACTCAGCATCTTTAATGTTCAGAGCTAAATGAAACGGAGCCTGGGCTTCATTGGTAGTTAAAGTGTTTTGTTTACGGCTTTGATTCACGGCTTCTTGTTATTATTGTTGTAGTAGCGGCGGCCCTGACTGATTTACTGCTCGTTACACACTCTGTGTGTACTTGTACACAGACTCGTGCACGGCGTTGTGCACAGACCTGRCCTAGTGAGGCATAAAAAGAGGACAGAGGATCAGTCGCACAGACCTGACCTAGTGAGGCATAAAAAGAGGACAGAGGATCAGTCAGAGACACGTCTGTCTGCTGTTTTTCACCGAACAAAGAAAGAAATGATTTGATCTTTGAACCAAAGAATCGATTGACTTCAGTTTTTTATCCAGATTTAAATCCAAATCTCCCAAATGTACTAAAGTCAGAATGAAGTATTTATGAACCTTTGTTGAGCAAATTGTCCCTTTCCCTCCCGCAGCCAAGAAGAGGAGCTCTCCTCATCCTCCAGCGAGGAAGAGGAGAGCGATCAGCGGCCGAATGAAGATCTGTTCGGGAAGGTGGTGTGTGTGGAGGGGGCCGCCGCCGCCGCTGCTGACAAAAAGAAGATGACGTGGTATCCTGCTCTGGTGAGTTTTTTTATGTATTTATTTTTTTATTTTTTCTCTCCCAGCTGCTGTGCTGCATCGCGGCGAGGAACCAGAGGCCACTGCTGCTGATCTTCGCAGCATTGTGCCGCTTCATCAAAACCGCCCGCTTATGTAACCCCAGCACTCAGCAGGATTATGTGATTGCTTTAGAATCCAGCCACCGTGAAAAAAAAAAACCCGTTGGGACACGTGTGTTGCTGCAGCTGAGTTATTTGCAGTCCTCTGCAGGACGTGTGAGTCAGTGCAGTTTCATTTCAATTAATTCCTCGTCTCAGAGTCTGAATCCTGCTGCCATGCTGACGAGCCTTTGTTGTTTGTGACTGTTACAATATGTGTGTGTGTGTGTGTGTGTGTGTGTGTGTGTGTGTGTGTGTGTGT